TATATATAGATATAGATATATATATATGTATATATATATATATATACATATTTAACATATACGTATAAATATTGTAATGTGTGTGAGCCGCATGAAGTAGTGAGTCATGCACAATGACTCATGTGTAGGGGGGGTTTAGTTTTTGGGCGCCAGACCAGTTCTGTGTGTCTTGTGCTATTGCTTTGATGCATACAGCCGATCTGGTATGTGTGTGTCAATATAACAAGAGCATACACTCTAAAGTAGCATAGTGTGTGAAGTAGTGTATAATATAGTGACCAGTGACAGACTGCAGAGGAGATCGGGTACTCAGGAAATGAGATATTGTGTCAGTAGCCAGTGGGGACTGACGGCAGGCAATATAACCAATACGCACATCGAAGTCCACGTGAAAAGAACAGCAAACGCCATATATAAAAACCTACTCGTCCCAGTCTAAGTCATCATCAGCGGCCGCTGGTTGAGCGATATAGTCTCTGCTAGACTGCCCTGCATTGATTTCGTCTGATAGACTGACACCAAAATTCGAGAGCTCAATGGAGTCTTTCCCCAGTTCATCTTTGCTGGTTTCGCCCGTCTCTTGTATTGTCACACTCTTGGAACTTTTATCACCTGATAAAGCAGAGAAATACGCAGGCGTTTCCACACTGGTCTTGCTTTGGAGAGACGATGTCAAACTGTCGCGAACCCCATCATTCACGTCATTACCAACCTCCACGCTGCTCTCATTTGTATCTTTACCACTCATATTAATGCCACTCTCAGTGTATTGCGTACTTGCGTTATTACTAGTTGAAACCCTCTAAATCTTAATGCTGTTGGGATATACCCTATCTTGCTTGGGGCTACAGTGGACTGCGTGTTTAGAAAGGAATGAGCTACGGCGAACCAAACTAGTTACTGAATCCAGGAATACGATAATACCACACTTACTCTACAAGGTGGTTTATCTCGCAAAGTGTTCAAACACACAAATACAGTGAGTCCCTGTTATGTTTTTATTATAGCTACGATAGTATTTATATCCACATCATGTGCACAGACTACCCACATGTGTATACAGATATATCATATATGCATAGTAAGTGGCGTTCTAGAAATGCGCATAGTCGCATACATACCAGATACAAACGCGTTTCATGAACACTTATGATACCAATGACTGGAGAATGTACTTATATGGTACTACCCAACACCCAACACCCTTATTTTAAAAACAGCGTTTAAAAAATATTAAAAACCCCCCTAATGTTCTTCCTACGGACGTTAATCCGTTCAGACATATTCTCTCTCTAGAGAGGGTGCATGGTTTATGTTTATGTTTTTGTTTTTTTATGTTTTATCAGTTGGCTATGGTTTTTTTGACATAAATATCATGAATTGATATTTGCTGCTCTATTTGTTTTTTATATCTATTCTCAAAAACTAAAAGACAAAACAAAACAAAATGAAAAAAATCCTCTTTTTTCGGGTCATATTCTTATCTTATTGAACAATCTGACTAGAGTTGCTCCAAATATTTAGAAGAGGCCTTTTATTCAAGAGGTCTTAAAAAATGTAAATTGTTTAAATACTTCCTGACATCGGACTCACTCCAGCATACGAACTCGCACTCCTTTTATCGCCCCGAAATATATGCGATGGCTAATATTCGGCACTAGTCTACTTATGAAGCTATATTAATAATAAAAACAAGAAGATTTGCCCATTCGGGGCATGTGTGATAAAAATATATAGGAATAAACTAGTCCACTTATGAAGCTATTTTAGAAGAAAAAACTAGATTTGCTGAATTGGGGCATGTTTAAAAAGATAAAGGAGCCTGGAGGGGAGAGTCATCAGAGACTCCCGACTCCGAGAGAGGAGTACCTTGTCCTGCTACCAGCTACGCCTGCCCAAAAACAATTTCGAGTTTAGACAGGTCCTTCAGGAATCTGGATTTCAGCCTTTCAGGCTTCATGGCCATTTTGTTTTCCAAAATGTCCTACTACACTTTTCCTTGCCGCTATGTCCTGGCGGTCGAAGTCTTGTTACTCCCAAAGTCCCAGATTAAGGTTTCTCAACGATACCAGACCTTAAAAAGGGGTGCTATTTCCGAAAATACCTTCCTCATTGCCATTGGATCCGCTCCAATTTTACCCAAATATTGAAATATATTCACATATGTAAAATACATAGCCTTCAAGTTGAACAAATTATATGTATTTTATGTACATACACAACTTCGCAGTTCGCCGTGATGGCAATATGTACAGATATTTTCAACCCCGCAGGGGGTTGTGCGAGGCGTGTGTGAGTCATGGATTTCAAAATGGGAATATATACAGGGGTGGGAAATAGCGTTTGGTAAAAAAGAGTGTAAGCCAATGAAGCTTGGTCGAAACCAATCAAGATTGATCTTTAGAAACTCCAGAAATGGTTTGGCGCCACTTTAAAATCACAAACAAACTGCGATGTACTTTGTACATATTTGCGTGCTGTGTTCATTATTTGCCTGTTTACTGATTTTAACTTTAGATTCTGTACAACCGTTTGTGAACTTTTCCAGAAATACATTATTTCTCTACCAATCGAAACTTGTAGATTCTTGAAACACGCGCAAAAGTTGTATAAAATTGCGATATTCGATGGTATTTTCCAACTGTAGGTGCAACAAAATTGGTCAGGCCACTAATAAAATACTATGGAATATGTGAGAAATACCGCCAGAAATCCATAATATCTGACCGAAGGCTCATTTGTCAGTCAATGAGACAGTAGGCTGCAGTCTAGAATCTCAGACAACGGTCCAGAGCAACAGGTACCAGTGTTAGAGTACAACATGGGTTGTATAACTGACACAATATGTAAATTTCTGCTAAATGTACAACGCTCACAGTACAACAGTAGTAGGACCCAATGGAATGAGAGGATCAGGGGCAAGGGTCGATTCTACTGGGGTTTCCTGCAATTTTTTGATTTTGTAAAAACCACGAGACTTAGAAATACGCGTTATCAATCAACAAATACCAATAGGGTTAGTCGTTGCACTTTAGTTCCGATAATAACTTTCAGAATAAGTGTGCCATATATCGATACACATAGTTTATTCACAACACTAATCAAAAGCTTACCTGAGTTGATCCTATAGTTGCAAGCACCTCGGGCTCCACATAAGGCCTGAGATAATTTAGCATCAGGATACCGCATCAAAGAGCTGAAGTATCTATCGACCTGACGATTTAACTACTTCTTTCTCTGACCCTTTGTTCTGGTCCTGGCCCATCTGTGTAAGATTTGGTCTATCAAGACGATATTAACGCCTCAGAATATATAAACGCGTAGGTCAATTCTAAATATCGTGAAAATTTTAAAGTAAATAAACGAAATGAGACTTTTAGCAAAGTTTGGTATGCCTCGTGAAAACAGCATTACTCTGAGGGATTGTGAGGCTGGGACATTGCCTATATATAATCCTCTCAGTACTGTTTCCGCCGAATGTAAACTTCGATGGAAATTACTAGGTTTCAAACTATATTAAACTAAAATACAATTTAGTCAGTTAGGATTTAGCAGTGGTAGCTTGTGTAAGAATGATCGGGACTGCCTATTGTTAAGAGCCTAAATATCCTCGATCACACAGGGCGTACCTCTAGCTGTTCTTTATTGAATAATTTTCACTAAAAGTACTAAGTGTTCATGACCACATGCCTAATTTGTAGATAGACATAACTGATATAAATAAAGTTCCAATCT